AAACGGCCAGCCGTCAAGGCCCCCCAGAAGGTTGCCACCACAAAGGCGGCGGCTTCTTTCTCCTTGACCGCCCCCTGTAATAACAACACGGTAGCGATCCACCCCCCCACACCAACCTCGGACCCGGTGTAGAGGAACAAAAAGCAGGAGAGCAAGCCCCGATAGAGGTTCCCAATCGCCTCCCCTTGAGGGGGGGAAGCCTCTGTTTCGAGGCTTTCCTCCGGGTCGTTTTCCTCCGACGACGTACTCGCCGCATCTTCCACAGGGTTCCCCCCACACAAAATGATCGCACGTCGTTCCTCCACTTGCACCCGCGCCTCGTCCTCCTGCCCTTCCTCGAGTCCCTCCAAATCTTCCTCTTGCCCTTTCTCCTCTGTGTCCCTGGCAACTTTGTCATTTTTCTTCTGCTGCCGCCGCCTTCGTCTTCTTTCCTTCCCTCCCCATACTATCTCCTCCAGGGTCACGCCCGCCACGGGCAAAACGGCAACGGTGGAAAAAATCAAAAATGCGTCCCGGTACCCGATTCCGCCCACTGCCACGGGCCCCAACACAGCCCCGACCCCAAAGGCGGCGTGCAGCCCTTGCATGTAAGGATCGACCGCTTTCCCCCACACCTCTACGAGCACGGCGTTGCCGGTCACCACCACCCCTGCCAAGGACAGTCCCTGGAAGAACATGAGGGCGAGGAGCGGGGAGATGGTGGGGGCGAAGACGACACTGAAGGTGACGATGCCGGCAATGGTGGTGCAGAGCGTCATGAGGAGGTATTTGGGCAGGTATTTGTCGAGATAAGGCATGGAGAAGGAGCCCACCAGGAAACCAAGGCCGCGACTCGTGAAGACACCGGCCAATTTGGTTTCGAGGAGGCCAAGTTTTGAGGCTAACGAAGGGACAGAGGGGCCAATTATGCCGCCTAGGCCCCCTAAAAGGAGGAAAGCGATGCACGCTAGGATGGTGATGACGGTGCGGGAGGGCGATATATCGGTACCAGAAGTCGGGTTGGAGGATGCACAGGCCTTCAGTGGGCCCTCTTTTGCTCTCGCATTCCTCTTGTCATCGTCGATGAAGTCTTGCTCGGACGACACCGATGGAGCGGAGGGGGAAGAGGGAGGCTTCTCGTCGTCAAAAACAACATCAGTGAAAGGCCCTGCCTCAAAAGCTGGGATGTGCTTCGTAGCCATGGAGCCAGCCAAAAGCTCCACCTCTCCGGAATCCATGATATGATCTCTTGTACTGCGGTCACCTAGTCGTAGACAGGGCATGTATTTTTGATTAATGTGCTGTATGAAATGGTTTCCACACGACGGACTTAAATTTAGGACGAACAACTGGGAGACATCATGTACGTCATATCTTAATGGCGGTGATCCAAACGCGACAACGACCATGCACTACAGCACATTGTGACACGCAAGTTCCAAAATATGCCCCGGTGCGGCACAATTCTGGAGGGTGTGCATGCATCACGAGCTTGCTCCTCACAAATTTCCAGTGGGAAGGCGGGGACATGCAGAAGAGAAAGGCGTTTATTGCAAGCGCGTATATGGGTCAGGCAGGACGAGGAACGTGGTATGTGACTACGTATGTCCTTTTCCAAAAAACTCGAGCCACATGAGACGCGGGTCCGCAGCATTTGGTTGGAAGTCAAATTCGCTCGTCAACGTTTATCGAATTGGACAGCACACGATGCACATTCAGTAGGTCCATCGAATGTCCTCCAGAGGATTTTTGGGGAAAAGTTGTGGTCAAGCTGGCTGCAAGCTTATCCACCATGCAAGGCGCTCGGTCATAGAAGAAAGTCGCTGGACGGAAAGACTTGATCGACTATGTCAAGACATAAAAGGCGCGCATTGCATGTAGATATGAATATGGAGAAGGCAAAAGAATGGTAGAAGGAGGATATTTCTGGTACATTCAACACGACGACGCTTCCGCAATCAGGAAAGGCTCAGAGGGGGGGGGCTACTTTGCTTCTCCCCAAAGGTTAGATTACTTGTCTGAAAATCTCAAGTCGAAGCATGGATATGCTTAACATTTTTATTTCGTTATGTACCGCGAAGTTTATAACTTGAAGCCGTTTATGCCAGAATTGTCCCTTTGAGATGTAAAAAGCAGACAGATCTCGAACGAAACGGAAAATCTGCCCGTGCAATCCCCCGTGATGCCCGCAGCACATACACGTAATTTTCATTCATGTAGCAAGTCTTTGTAGCAATACATATCTCGCTCAGTTACTGAAGTACTTCGCACTCAATACTCATGATCGATGGTGCGCAGGACAACAAGAGCATATGACACGAAATCTGGAGTGAGCATTCAAAAAAGGCTTTAAACTCATTTAAAAGCAAAGACAGCAAATTATCTTTTGAAGAATGTGCAATTTCTCTATGTGCACACATTATCGGGTCATGACTGTGCATGGCCTTCTCAACTGCACACGAGGAAACAATATTTCGAATGAAGTACCGCGGGCACTAGCTCCGCGTACTGCCAAGCATTTTATAGATGATATATTCTAGCATTATCTTGTACTCCATCTCCGTTTTCTAATTTACTTGCAACCGGTCAGTCCTCTTGTGGTGGCTGACAGTCCTCCACATGCCTCGTTTCACTTTCTCGCTCCCTCGTCCTCCTGCCTCTGATTGAGTCTTCAAAGGGCCCCTTTCTTGAATGGCGGCGTAATCATGCGGTCCATCAACCGATCGTTTAGAAGCCAAATGCCCCATCCTAGCCAGTAAGCAGGCGTGCCGTTCACATTTCCTACCAAATATCTGGTCTGAGGGTGCGAGGAGGGAGGGAGGGAGGGAGGCAGGGAGGGAGGGAGGAGGATAAGAGAGGGGAAACATTACCCCTTGCGACAAGATAAACGAGGGGTGACATGTGCCCTTTTCCAATCGACTGGACCCGACTAAAATCCAACAAAGTGGGCTGCCTGTCAACTTGCACCCAAAATTAAACAGAATAGTGGGCAATTAATGACAAGATAACGATTCTCCGCCGGCCTTTTGTTCGCGCCCGTGAGCATATGGCATGTCAGTAAAACCTTTCTTGTGGATAGATCCTAAAACAAGAGCTTCGTCTACCGCAAGCTCTCCGAATCCAAAGAAGACTTACCTTTGGGTAAGGACTTGTCAACGCGTGGTGAATCGCGCGAGAGCAGACAATGGGGTCGGAAGCTTTAGCAATAAGCGCATTCGTTTTATCGACCGTGTACAAATGTCCATAGAGGGCGCTGCATTCCTCTGGGAGCTCTTGCATGCGATGTTGGTGCTGTTCGTCCGCTTTCCCGAAGATTTCACTGCGGATATACCCAGGCTGAATGACAGATACAGACACCCCCAAATGTCCTAGCTCTACCCTAAGTGTATCACTTAAAGCCTCTAAGGCGAATTTTGTGCAGGAATACGTAGCTCCTAGGGGTCGAGTGACAATGCCAGCCATGCTACTGACGTTGATGATCCTGCCTTGTGGAGCTTGGCGAAGCAGGGGCAAAAAAGCTTGAGTGACCGCTAAGGGTCCGTAAAAATTGACCTCAAAGGTATTTCGATTGTGCTCTAGCGGAAGAAATTCGACGGGATCGGCCCCGCCTGTGACGCCAGCATTATTCACGAGGCCCAAGAAAGGGAGGCCGCCCCTCCGACTTAATTCCTCCTGAACACTCCGCACGGCAGCGGCGATTTGAAAAGGTTTGGTGATGTCTAAGATGAGGTAGTGTAAGACGCCTTGTTTTGCCGGGGATACCTTGCCCCGGCTGCGGCTTTTACTTGTTTGTTTGCTTTCTTCATCTAGGTAAGCTTTCAAGAGTGCTTCGCCATCTGCAGGTTTCCGCACCCCTGCGAAGACTAAAAAGCCTTGTCTAGCCAAATAAAATGCAGCGTGTCGGCCAATACCTGTAGAAGCTCCAGTGACGAGAACACCGCCGAGGGTTTTAGTGCTGCTCAATGTTTTGAGAGTGGGATAAGGCTTTCGGCTGATCAGGTAGACGACGAGAGGGAGGAGGAGAACGGCAAGCAGCATGATTCCAAACGCTAGGAGAACCCCGTACAAGCCGGAGATCAAATCCACGGAGGCCATTATATTATCTTTTTTTTGTGGTTTCGGGAACATTAGAACCACGACGGGTAATGGTGCACCCTACCCACATAAGCATCGGGTCAGGAACAGCAGTGGGAGGAGGTTGAAGTTTTTTGTCATGGGCCGATCCAGCTTACAAAAGACACATTAAAGTACTGAAGACTAAGCTGCGATTACTCTGAGAAATCCTTTCGATAAGAAAAGGTTTACGCAGTGGCTGGTCGGCAAAGGAGTGGCTGGATCAAGAAAGCAGGTTGCCAACAAATACTTGAAATATGACTGAAATTCCCATTAGCAAGATCGCACTTGTTTTCTCTGTCAGATCTCAAACGCGATGCTAAACGCAGGTAGAAAGCAATCTATCCCGATGCATAAATGCCGGACCATGATTGAGTTTTCTGCTCTTCGAATTTAATGATTGCTCAAATCCTAAACTGCGCTCTCTTGCAGCCCGTCATGTCTTATGTTCCAAAGCCCACACATTCGTCCAGCAGATTTGAATTTGTGTACAAACAAGAAAGAAGAAGTTGGAGAAGAAAGAGAAAACACACATTTCTCGCCGCTCTGTTTTCTTCCCTTCCCACCCCTATTTGTCTGCTTCTCCGCGCTTCTTTTCAAGGACACTGCCATTTCCGGCGATAGCGGTTTTCCAAATTCCTGATCATCGTGGATTCTCGCCCCTTGTATTTTCGCAAAATATCGTCCACATTCACTTCGCTCAAGCGGTCGGGGCTCACCTGGAACGGAAACATAGTGAACAGGGAAGCAAGGGCGTTATAGGTCGTCAAAGGGCCTTATAAATCATCCAGCGGCACTCCTTCCAAGGAATTCAGGGTCTAGCTATCCCTGCCTCCATCATTCTCTTGACATTTCCCTCCATTTCAAGCTTTACCTTGCGGTAGTAATTGGTTAAACACTGACGCATGTCTGGTTTGCGATGAAAGCGAGCAAACATAGGAAGCTGGAACAGGTAGTCAAACGCCGTGAAGATCGCAGGCCCCATCATGAACTGGTTGAGTGTAAGCAAGAAAAGAGGAGTTGCTCGCAACGGGTTCGTCGAGAATAGCCTTTCTCTATCTAGGTGAGGACACTTACCAGCAGAAAGAGGAGCGGCATCCACTTTATTCCCCCTTCTTTTTTAGCCTGCTTCTCATTCTCTTCCGCCAGAGCCATTTTCCTTCGTGCTTTCATTGCGGCTTTGACATTTGCCGCAACCTCTTTCTGTCCGCCGTCCTTGTCCCTGCTGCTTCCCTCGGCACGACATGTGGCTCCCGTCTTGGCCTTGGAAGGATCTTTCAGTGACTTCAAGGATAATCCCTGTGAGTGCAAATAATCCAACGCACTCATCTCGTGTTCGTCTGGCTCGTCTTCGTACTCCACCTCCTCTTCGCTCTCTCCATCGTCCATGACCACGTCGTCCGCCTCAGATGCCGCAAGGCCCGGTTTGCGTTGACGGATGTCAGGGGAGACCATGGTTTACGCCGGCTGTGAGGGGATGGATAGTAAGTCCAGTAGAAAAGTGAGACTTTGCCAAACCCCCTCCGTAAGGTGGTGGTGCGAAGGTATCGTGGCCTTCCGAACCCAAAGGATTTGGGGTAAGATGACCTGTGCGACATGTTGGGGGTCGTGTTCAGTGGGGCACTAAGCCATGCATCTTTGGTTAAACATTTGCTCTTGACCACTAAATCGACTTTCCGCAGCATTCAACACTACGTCTTGATAGAAATGATGATGAAGAACTGCTCGTCAGTCCAGGTTGTGCTTGGAGAGTGGTTCTTTTCTTGCAGGGCAAGATGGGATGGTTGCAGCAGTCTCGCGCGTCGAGGCTTCAACTTGCCATTTATTTTCCGCCTTTCTTAAAGTCATACTTATGTGTTGTTTTTGTTTCAGTTAGTGCGGCACAGTCTTTCTAGAGTAGAGTATCGGGTGGTCAGACGTGCATCGTGACCTTTTGCACGCCCTCGCGCGCTTGTTTTACAGGTAAGTCTTACAACTGGCAGAATATGCTCCTGGTAGTTAGCCGAAGGGCCTCCAGGCTACAATGTAGAATAAGCATTAGACCGCGATTCAAATGAGATCCACCAGCATCAATCAAGCTGTAAGGTGCACATACGTTGCTGATATCATACTGAAGGCGCTTCATGGGCGGACTTGACCGTGTGTTTATTTATAGGACTGCGTCTGGCATTAGAGCAGGCAATCAAAGGGACCATGTTCGCCAACCCAGTGCGTCTCCATTTCTGTGCTAATAGCCAGATTGAGTGTGAATTTCCATTGACCATAAATCTTGGCTGCGATTCCTGTACTTTTTGCTAAAGTGCCGTTCATAATTTTACCCGTCACCCTCCCCTCCTTTCTCAGGCGCAATGCCGACCTCCCCCCAAGCTATGTACGTGCCGTTTTCTCACCGTCTCGAATGGCAAGATGTCACGCCTATCCCGCAAGACGATCTCCCCGCGTCCTCCCTCGTGGTCCCTATCGACTATCCGGACGAGTACCGCGATGCCACGGAGTACATGCGGGCGGCTTTGGTCACTGGGGAACGGTCTCGGCGCGTGCACAGTCTAGCAGGGGAGGTCATAGAAATGAATGCCGCACACTACACGGCCTGGTGGCTGAGACGACGCTGTTTGGAAGCAATGGTAGCGGAAACAACAGCCCAGGACAATGCGGGGGATAAGGAAATGGATGAGGCCGTGGAGGAGCTTTACGATGCGGAGCTGGCCTTCGCCCTGCGTATTTCGGATGAAAACCCCAAGAACTATCAGGTGTGTATGCTTGCTCACGAGGCTCTCTGTAAGATACTGGAATGCCTGTGGCCACAAGCCTGACCAGGCGTGCAAAATGCTTCAGCTGTCTTCTCTTTTCCCTCCGTTGTTCCCTTTTTCCCTTCGCACGTCTTCTCCCTTCCCCCCTTTCCCCTTTCCTCCTTCCCTCCCCCGCCTCATGGCTTCCTTACAATAACAACCACATTTAATTTCAGGTGTGGTTTCACCGGCAGACCATTATTGCGGAGACTGAGGACCCGGCTGGGGAGCTGGAAATTTCGACGCGGGCCTTGAGGAAGGACGCCAAGAACTACCATGTATGGGCCTATCGCCAATGGCTTCTCAAAACCTTCCAGGCAGGCTGGGAGGAGGAAATGGCATTCGTTGACACCTTGCTTAAAGAGGACAGACGGTAAGCGTGGCCAGGGGTGGGGAGGCTGGGGTGGGGGTGCACGGGGAGAATAGGCGCGAGGGTCAGCCACGAGACACGAACAGGACGATCGCATGAAGGCCACTGGAACTTTTGGCGGGAAAGACGGATCCAGGGCTCGTCGAGAAAGAAGGAGGAAGGAAGAAGAGGGGTAGACGCTGGAGGGAGGCGAAGGGCAAGGACGGTCTCATACTTCCTTTTTTCCTCCCTCCCTCTGTCCCTGTCTGCCTTTCCCAGCAACAACAGCGCCTGGAACCAACGATGGTTCGTCGTGCACACCCACGAGCTCTCTCCTTACCATCTGGAGAGGGAGGACGGGAGGGGTGGAGGGAAAGCGGATGCCATTCGGGAGCGGGAGATGGCATACGCATGGGATTCCGTACTGGAGGAGGGAGCCGGCCTGGCGGGGGGCGGGGGCGGGGAAGGAAAGGAAGGTAGACTAGGAGATAATGAGAGTGCTTGGATGTATTTACGCGGATACCTGAGGGAAACGGGGTACCGAGCATCGGGCTGGCGGGAGCGGCTTGTGAACGCGG